GGTAATTCCACTTGTACTTCTGATTATAAATTGTTTGAGACAGAAGGAAAAACAAAGAGCAGATAGAAGATATTGCTTATATCTCCAAATAAACCTGGAAGCATTTGGTTAAGTTTTGGGGAAATCAGATACTGAGCTACATGAGTATTTGATCTGATGCAATAGAACCTTCCTATTGTAAATTGATTCTGTCTTCCGCTGAATAAATTATTATTGCCAGTTACTTGATATCAATTGCAAACTCCTTTGTGCTAGCAATTAAAAATCCTGCACTTCACAGTAGCTCCTTCTGGATCATAGAAATGATTCTTATTTGTTCAGAGAGAAGAAAAGCATAATTTCTATTTGTAAGTGAATCTAAACAAGAATTGCAGAAATTGGCAAAATCTGCAAAGGAATGAGTTAGAGAATCATATTAAGTAAAATTTAAAATCGATGCCTCTGGCTCTTTCTGTTTCTCTCATTTCAATTCAGTAGAGCTTGCTATCAACAAATATTTCCAGCCATAAAAAGCCTGTGCATGTAGAAATTTATCTTATTACAGAGATGGCTGGGCTAAAACTTTCATTCTAGCATGTTACATGAAAATACTTGGATTAAACAGCAGTACTACCTAAGGAAAAAGAATATTAACCCTGCTTCTCCCCCTCAAACTTACTGTATTTGTGAAATAGGCTAATAAAGTGACTTCATGGAGCAAATTTAAGTTTTGAAAGAGGTGAGGAGAGAGAAAGAAGTATATGAAAGCTCATGCCTTTCAGTTAAAGCGGCATAACGGGATCTGTAATTTTTTTTAAAAAACTTAAATTCCCAATATTTTGCCTCAGGTTCAACGTCTACACCCACTGGTAATTTTTTTTAATGAAAATAAAATAGGAGATATTGATAGTATTATATATTTAGACATTTAAAATATACAGCACTTGCAAATGGAAATTCAGAGAACTGGCAAATCGCACCACTGGCTGCCCCCTCCCCTTATTACTAAAATAGTAATAAATAAATATTGAACATTGCCTGCATTCTCTCTACCTTTACAAAATACAACAGCTACAAAGTTGTTACCAGCAAAAGAAGCAACAAGAGTGAAATTTGCTGACAAATATTTTTTACATTCTTTTTTTTAACTTGCAGTCAATAAATTTAGCAGCAGTTGGCAATCTGTATTTGACAAAGTTGTTAAGGATACAGGAGCCAAAGCTGCTATGATTTGCAAGTCTAATAGTTACTCTGGATATAATGCTCAAATGACTTTTTTCTAAACTTTTGATTTGTTCCATTAAATTAATTTTCCTCTTGATTCACAAGATGACATAGCAATTCTCAGTGGAATATTTGGGAACAAATGTAGATTACAAGAAGCATGTATTATTTATAATGTATTAGGGATGCAGATATTTAAACAGAATGAGAGAAATGATTAGTCACTCTTCAAAAACAATGAGTCCCCAATCAAATCTAAGGAAGAAAAAATATGAATAAATGAAAACAAAATTACAGGAGTCTTTATACTGCCTTTAGAAACAAAAATGCACAAATCTTTAAAAACAAAAATACGCAAGGGTCTGATTTTATTAAGCTAGGAGAACTGGGAGTTCAGTCCTAATTTGTTTCCTTATTAGAATTGCAATACTTTAATATTGAATAATACTATATTGCTCCAATAGTGGGAGCACTAAACTAATTTGAGCTGATTTTGGAAAAACTAAGCAAAATTCATACTTAGTACTTGAAGGGAGAGTCTCAGGAATTCCTGGGACTGTAGATTAGATTAGGAAACTGAAAAAAATATGAAAGTAATTGCAAGTCCTTTCCATACCATTGCCCCCAAAATAATATGGACATGTCTGTTATCCACTAAGTAGATCAGATCAGAAAATCAACTTTATAGGAAGTCTAAAACTATATTTATTGAGACTAAATACAATAATTACAACAGAATTTGGCAACATTCTGCTGTTCTCCCTTCTTTCTTCTACTCTTTTGCCCGAGTTGCTTTGAAGAATTGCCTTATTGCTTTGGACTTAAAAATGTGTGCCTAGGCAAATTCTTACATATTTCCATCAAGATAATCTTCCTTGCTATTCAAACACAGAATTTACTCAAATCTTATAGCCTCACAGCTGCTTGACAATACGAGTTTCTTTGGCCACTCATAATCAGGCCACTATCACACTGGCTTTCATGTTTACCTGCTTATGTTAAGGACTGTCATTCCATCCCAGGACTGCTAAAGGAGCAGGCAGGATGTTGTGCATGAACTGCTGAAGATCCTTCATTGTGATGGAAGACCAAAGCAAAAGTAGTGGACAGCCACATAGGTCATCATCCCATGACCTGCCTAGCATCAATTACTCCATTCATTGTAAAACCACATGCATTATAGCTATTTAAATCCAAAAGCCTTTTGCTTCTTATCCAAGGATAGAAGTATCCTGCAGGGACCAGTCTTCCTAGGAATCCTCGGTAAGTTTCAGCAACTTGCAAGGACACCTGAAAACCCCACTCTATATGGCTGCCCTCATTGTTCTCCACTTTGATGTGAGCTCATTGATTCTTCACCTGCATTTCTATCATACCAAGACTTAATCCCCTTCAATCTGTCCCTGCAATGAAATCATAAAACTACTTTGCATTTTGAATTAAGATGCCATTAAATGGGATAAAGACACATTTTTGAAATGGGATGACTCCCAGCTTCTTTTAACACTTCTAAGCAGGCAAGAGGATGTTGTTTTCAGAACTGTTTTCTGACTGTCCTGTTTGACCTATTTGTGACTGTGTTGTAGAGGCACTGGGGAAAAAAAAACCTAGGGCTTCTCATTTTTATGCTTCTAAGTCTTTCCTTTCTCTAACTCTGCTCCATTTGCTGTTAAGTGCTTCTACTCTGTTGCTTTCAAGTCATTTAAACTGCTTTCTCAAAAGTTCATTCTCAAATTCTCAACAGAGCTTTCATTGCCGCAAAATACATGCATAAAACAGGTCTGCATCTGTCACAGAAACTAGCAATTGTTCAGGAGTCTGGTGTGTTAGTTCATTTCTGCACATGTGATTTATTGCATCTTCTACAGTCATTCAACTAACAATGTGCCAACCTAACAGCAATGTGGATAGGTTTTAGCTTCATTCACAAATCTCTGAGTGATGCTATCAAGATATTATGCATCTCTACCAGTCAGCGTGATGGAAAGACACCCCAAGAAACCTGATACCTAACAAAATAGCAATACATTTGTGCAAAGAGAAATGAAAGATTCGACACTTTAAAGCACAGAGGGGTCAGTATTCCACTGTTTTGCATTTGCATTTTGGGGGGAAGACATTTTAAAACGTCTTTTTAAAAGACATAAAAGCTTGCTGGAGCAATAAGGCATTTAACGCAACAGCAGCGCCTTGCACCTTTGCAGGGAAATTTAGCAGAGACGGCAACGAACCGCCTGTGGAAAAACTTCCAAGGCACAAAAAATCGAAGGCAGGAGAGCGCAACTTCAGGACTTTTCTTCCTTTCCTTCTTCCAGGGCAAAACAATGACATCATTGCTTGGAGTGCCAGAATAATTGGCGGGGAACAGCATCGGCTTCAAGTTTGGGTGTTATGAAAAGCTGCATATTCGGTCATTTTCAGAGGGAGTTTCAAAGCCTTATTTCATCCTCCGGGGGAGATTTGCATTACTTCACTGACTTCGCAGCATTGTAAGCCGGGTTTGTGGCACGTCCTCCTACTCATTCTGCAGAGGAAAACCACAGACTCCCCGCCGCCCTGAACGTCAATCTCGACCGACCTCTTTATGTAACGTTGCTTGGAGGAGGGGGGGGGGGAGTTATTAAGCATCCCGGGTTTAAAATATACCAGCGGTCGCCGGGAGGTGGCGCCATCGAGCTGCTCCGAGCTACCGGTTTATTCCCTCCCTCCAGGCTCGCACGTGGGCCGCCGCCTCCCGGGTGAAAAGCGGCAACCTCCTCGCGCTCGCTCCACTCGCCTTTTGCAAAGTGAGCCATGCCGACCGCGCTGCGGGTGCGGGGCCAGCGTAGACTCCGATGCACGCTCTGGACAGTTCGGGGAAGCGGCGGTTTCAGCAACAGCTCCCGACACCACTGAAACGAGCCGTCGGTAACGGGCTTGCAGGGGCGAGGCAAGGCGCCGTGCAGAGGAACAAGTGGAAAAACGGTAGGAGGCTTCCCTCCCGAGGCGGAGGATGGCCGCGAGGGATGAGCCCAGTTGAGAAAAGGCGTCCGAGAGATGCCCCGTTATTCCTGAGCTGCTGCTGCTGAAGTGGTGGAAGGTTTTGTGAGAGGGTTTTTTTTTCCCTTGGGCGGTGGGGCGCCGGGGGCTGTCTGCACCAACCCAACCACCCCCGTCTCTGCCTCTGCTCCGGGATCCACCCAGTCCTTTTATCCCGGAGGTTTGGTGAGGGCACTTTATTTGCCCCTCTGCCCCGCCCCAGCCCGCCCGTCGCTCTCGGTGTGTGTGCTCGCCCTGGGTGCGTCGTCCAGACAGTTGTACTGTACTTTACTCTCTCCTCTCCTCCTTTCCGGGCTCTTGTTCTCAAAGCGTCCCGGCTGCCCTGCCTTCTCCAAGCGAGAAAGGCGCGCCTTGTTCTCTGAGGAAAATACAAGTACCACCGCCAATGGAACCTGTTTTGCGACGGGCGCTTCGTGGGGCAAGGAAGCTACCATTCCCATTGTATTTGGCTGGAAGCCTGTGAGGGGCCCCCCTCTCCGTTTTCCAGGGTCTTCTGGAGGGTGACTCGAATGCCGCCTTTTACAAGCTCCGATGTCAATTTCTATCCTTTGCCCCAGTCACTTGAGTGTACGCGTGGCTGTTCGTCCACGAAGAAGGACGCCGCCTCCCCGGTCCTCTGAAGGAAGACCACTTTGCCCGAAGGTGCCTCTGTGAACCGACAGAATTCCACGTTGACTTTCGGTTGAACTAAGGCTGAAGACCGTGGCTGGGCTGTAAAACTACCGGAACTCTCCTCCCCTCCCTGCTTAGCCTTCCTCCCCTCCCTGCTTAGCCTGCCTCGGCTTGCCTCCACCTGGGAAAGATACCCAGGAGTGAAAGCGAGGGAAGGGTTTTGTTGACCTCAGAATGCTCCACTCCACCTTGGGAGACTCTCCTTTCTTCTGAACAAGAACTGGCAGAAGAAACTTTGGGGGAAGAAAGGGCTGCCATTTCTCTTTACCCAAAAGCTCTTGTTGCTGGATTCTGAAAGCTGTTTGAATCTCCTGGAGACTCAGTTGCCTACCTGGCACAGAGGAGCAATTGTTTTGGTGGAGGAAAGGGGTTATTTAAGGACCCTCGGGGATTGAGGGGCAGGTCCTGCTTAAAGAAGAGACTTCAAGGGTACTCTTGCCTCATTTCACCTGCAGAGGTGCTCTGAGCAAGCTTGAGGATTTCTCCCCCAGGGTACTTGGAAGCTGCATCTTTCTTGCTGTGACATCAGGAAGAAACTTTGCCCACCAAAATGTCCAAAGTGGCGGCTTCCGGTGGAGCTGGAACCCCAGCAACACCAGAGAGTTGTGGGGCAGGGCTGGCTGAAGACCTCTCTAAGGTGTCTGATGAGGACCTGCTGAAATGGAGCAAAGAAGATCTCATTCGTAGCCTTCGTAAAGCTGAGTCAGAGAAAGTGAGTGCCATGCTGGATCACAGCAACCTCATCCGGGAGGTCAACCGCCGCCTGCAGCTCCACCTGGGCGAGATCAGGGGACTTAAGGTAAAAGGATGCTTGCAGGAGAGGAAAATGGGAGGAGGGGAAAAAGCAAAGGCAGGGTGAGAAGATCTTCTGATCCTTGCAAACTATGCAGCTGTGTAGCCCCTTGCAGAAAACCCAGGACCATGTAGACTGCTATAATGAAAAATGGTAGGGATGGGCAAACTAGAGAGAGATTCTGTTGTGAAAGATTGTTGTGTGTGCTTTTGTTCTGGTCCTCAAAACAAATGTCTAGAATTAAGTTTGTTTTTCTCCACCTGAAGTTCTCCCAGGTCATTGGGACTAAAGCATCCAGAATTCCTAGGCAGCATGTTAGAAATAATAGCCACAGGACTAGGTTAGGAAAAATTGCTGAAAGCCCTTTGTAACATCTGAATGTTGGATTTTGGGATTCTTAATAAAAAACAAGTGGGTCCCACAAACTGCCTATCCCTACACAAAGACAGATCATAAATTGGTGAATATTGTTCAGGAGAACTTCCCTGTTAATTTAGCCACATAGGGTGTCTTCTTCTCTCACACCTAAGGTTGTGAAAATAACCCACCATTGTTATTATGCCCTTGCGAGAAAATATTTCTTTGGACCCCGACTCAGATAAGAGACATAATATCAGAAAGTCCCTTGTCTGTTTGCAAGGTACATTTTAGTTCATAGTTTCTCAATCTCAGCAGTACTTTAAGATGCATAGACTTCAATTCTCAGAATTTCCCAGCATAGTCTGCTAAACATACATTTTAATTATTATGTGTTGAGTATACATGCAGATATTCCATTGCTTGATCAGTGTAAGGAGTGGAGTGGATCTTGCTTGCAAACCTATACCTAGTTTTATTCATTTGGTTTACTGTAATTGTATACTGCCAGATTAAAAAGATGCTTCCTGGAGGTTTACATCCTAAAAACATAAAAAACATGATAAACCTAAAATCAAAATAAAAGACAAAATTTTTATGTATGTATGTATGTGTCTGTGTTACACAGTGAAATGCTTAACATTGAGATTGTTACAGTATGTACTAAGTAAAGTATTTCTGTTGGTGTAAAGTGCTAGTTTCAATTTGTAGCTTATCCCATCCAAAAATATTTAGACAGCATAGCTTGAAAAGCTACCTTGTTTGCAACCAGGCAGAGTGGAATAGTTTACTGAGTTGCTGACGATTGTTTATATCATGCCTTCCAGGATGCTGTCTTCTGAAGCAGCTTACAAATAGCAGAAAGATATTCTTGGCTGTTTTAAGTAATGTAATTCAAATAATGAAGGGTCCTTCCAACTGGAAAGTTGTTGTAAAAGGCCCTGTGGGAAGAACAGGAGGCAGCTCTTTAATAATACCCTCCCTGAGTGCTGCCTTATCTCCTGAGTCTTTTATACAGCGATTGCTGGTAGGAAGTCCTTAATCTGGAAAGGCCAGTCCAGTAGGAGAAGGTACTTGACCTGATCATAACTACCCCCTCAACAGTCCTCACCAATACACACCTAGCTGGATTTTGCTTTAGACCATTTCTGCAGCACTGATTTATAAAGGCTTCTAACACTTTGCAGCCATTGTTAAAGCAATATTATTCCTGTCCCCGCTATCTTCCTGGGTGTCAGGATAGATAAACCATGCTATAAAAGACTAACCGAGAAATAGCTTTAAACAGCTCCCTAAAAGTCTGAAATAGAGACAGTACTCTTTAGCTGATCTTGGCTGGTTTGAAAAAGTTAAGCAGGATTGTAGATGATTAATATTTGGAAGGTAGTTCACAGGGAAATCTTAAGGCTATAGGCTAGGCGGTGAAGTTGTAAAAGGAGCAGCAAGAGTTTTCTGAAATTGGTGCAAAAAGTACAGAAGTTGAAGCTTGACTCAAGGAAGTATTTTCAGTTTAGTCTATGGTGGGTAAGTACCAAACCAACTTTAGGAAAGGTAAGATAGGTCTGATCTGGTTAATTCTTAGTTGGGAGAACACCAATGTATTACACGTGGAATGACCTTGGATCAAGAAGGATCCTGTAGCAAAAGGATATGTCTGGGAAGTCATCAGGAGTTGAGATTTGTTTCAGGGAGTTTTTCCCCCTTTGTATATCTACATTATTTTTTGTGATTGAAATGAAATTGGTAAACTACATGGGAATGAGACCTATCTTCCTTCTTCTTTTGAAAATGGTCTGATTCCTTAAAGTTCAAGAGGTTGTATTAATTAGTAAGCAAAAATTGTGAAATGGGAGGTATGAAAATATGTAAAGGATTTTTTCCCCAAGGCAGCTTAGCAATCTTTTCTATAAGAATTGGTCACGTGGTAAGTGGCTTGCCTTTGCCTCCTACAGGGAAGGAGAGGCCTTTCCCTAAACACTTGGAGCATTTTCAGTACAGCCAGTTGAAGAGGTGTTTTAACGCAGTAAATGACCTACGCTTGAAAATAAACTTCCTAGGATGTTACCTATTTCAGTGGGTATCAATTTCACAGGATCAAATAGAGAAATGCCTTCCAATCAACTAGAGGAAGTTGTTCAGTTGAATATAGGGAGTGATGGATCATTAAGTGTCTTGTTGACTATGTGTGATAAACCAGGTAAGAATCCCAGCCAGGTGAGCTAATTATCCTTATAGAATTAATTGCATTAGTTGCATTAGATGATCTAATTCAGGGGTCTCCAACCTTGGCAACTTTACGACCTGTGGACTTCAACTCCCAGAATTCCTCAGCCAGCAAAGCTGGCTGTGATTAGAATTAGACCCCGATCTAATTCTAATGTAACTTGTAAAATTACATTGACAGAATCTTGCAAATCTGTAAGTACAATTCTCTACCTATCTTCTTTATAGCCCAAGAAACTAAGGAGAATCTCCTTTAGTGCTACCCACTCCCCAGTTGCAGACTATGTTATCTCTTACCTGACACTTCCCTGGCAGCACCTTTTTGCCCAATCTCCCAAGGTCTTTTCGCATACTGTTACATCATTTTCCCCTTCATATCATCCTCCCCTCCTGAGTCTCCAGGGAGACAGATTGTGGTGCTGTGAAAACAGAATGTAGCTTGTGTGGCTCCTCTCATCTGCTGGTAACTCTCCAAGAACACATGAGGCATCCCCTAAATCAGGTGTACCAGTAGAGCCGTCCCTCCATTGGGAATTTGTTGGGCTTTCCCTCTCATGTCTGTGTACATTGCCTGCCTCATTTCCCATTGCTACCCCCAAGCCACCCTCTACCCTATACAAGAATCCCTTCTGTTCATTTTGGTCAGTGCCAAACTCTACAAGTCTGGTAGTTGGCAAGCATGGATTTATTTTATTTTGTTTTGAAAGGAGTGCACAGTTATAGCTCATGCTTGTCTCTTGCTGTCTCCATGACCTTTCCAATTCAGGTAGTTTTTTCAGTGTATCAAATATTCGACCCATTTTCCTTTTTTTACCATTTACAGTCTAGCACCTACAGTCTAGCACTGCTTTCACCTCATACTTTTCAGCAAGATGCCTCTTTTACTTGCAAAGATTGATGGAATATAGGATGAAGTCTTCATTGATGCTGGCAGTTGCAACTGAAATGCTACTTGGTTTATTTGCTTAATCACTGGGACAAGGCCAATAAATTGTAAGTCTAGTTTCTTGGAAGACTTCTAAATTCTTTTGGTCTGAATGGACTTTGGTTAAGTCCAGTAATGACTTCTAGTAAGTCATTATTGGACAACATTTTTTATTGCCAGGAACTCCTGGAAAATATCATAGTTCCTTTATGCTGGACAGGAGAATTCTGGAGTAAAAGGCACACTAAATTAAATCTCTCTCCTCGCCCCTTCTTTTTCCATCTGGATCAGAATTGCTTCTATGACCACATCTGAAGCATCTCTCTTCATTACAAAGGGTCAGGGTAGCTGAAGACCAAGAAGCAATGGTTTGTTTTAATTCTTGAAATGCTACCTGCTCTTGGGTTGACCAGAAGAATTGTTGGTCTTTTAAGAGCTGAGAGAGTGGTTTTACATGGTCAGCATAATTTGGGTTGAATTTCCTGTAGAAATTAGTAAAGTCCAGAGAGCATTGTACCTCTTTCATATTACATGATGTGTGTGTGTGTGTGTATGTATGTGCACACAACATGATAACATAGATTATCTTTGCTAGATCCCTCTGTATGCTTTCTGTGGAAATTCTGTTGCCCAGATACTTTAGTTGAGGCAGATCAAATGCACACTTCTCTAGTTTGACAAAAAACTTATTCCATATTTTTACAGTATGGTTCTGATACATGTGACATGAGAGGGAGGATCTTAAGAAATATGTCAACTAAGTATGCCATCACATACTTACCTAAAATGTTTGCAAATACATTATTTTTGAGTCTAGAAAAGCTCCACAATTAACTAATCTGAAAGGTATCTCTATGTATTTGAATTTCTCATAACTCTTATGAATTAAATACTCATGTTCTCCTTTTATTTTTATTATGTTGTAAGCACTTCTCAAGTCTACTTTTGTAAAGATGTGAGCCTTCTGTAGCTGGTATAATAGATCTGGGATAAGTAGGAATGGATAATGATCTCTAATTGTCACTCTGCGGAGGTCTTTGTTGTAAGACAGCTGCCTCTTCTTCCCCAAACATATACATAAAGTAAATCCTTCCTTGTTCTATAACTTCTTATAAGTTATAATGGACCTTCCAAGAGGTACTTACGACTGGGTTCCAAAATACCACACTCTTCCAAGTTCTGTATCTACATTTTGGGTACTTGGCAACCAGCACATTATTTATGGCTGTTTGCAATATTTCACAGTCAGCATGACCAAAATCTGCAATGTTTTTGCCCAAACAGGCATTTAACTCATCTTTTCCATAGAAATTTTCCCTATAGAAAACAATGGATTTATTTGAGGACTGCACTGTTTGCTTAATGATCATCACAAAAAAGTTTGTAAAATCTGGTCTGTCACCCTCATGACTTATTATTGTAAAAGACAGGCTACCTGTATTTGAGATGTTGGTGGTAGGTAAAGTTGCACTACTTGTAAAGTGACACTGTTGTCATTTAG